TATGTGTAGGAACCACTCCCAGAGAAGGGGGAATACTTGTGAGTCAGGTATCTATCTACTGTTGGTATCTGGTATAGTCTTAAAGGAGCAGGGCTGAGAAGCAAATCCCAGGGGAACAACAATAATTTACAGACAATGAATAGTCTATTTCTTTCCTTTCCAGGTTATGAAAGTCATTATTGACAATATCTGATTGACCATGATCTTTCATATGTAAAGTAAAAGCACATTTGCCTTCATAAGAGGGAGACCTTAAGAGAAGTGTAGGGTTTTGAAATATGTTCAGATTTCTGGAGACTAGAATCTAGAGAGTGTGATGTGACGCTTTTTAAGTCCACTATGCTTGTGCGAGTGCTGAGTACTTCTGCAAAAGCCAGTGTCCTATCGCTAACATTTATAGTAAGTGGCTGAAAGCATTTGGTGTTGAAGCTACTTTGGAGTTATAAAAGGTAATTTAATTATGGGTCTACAACGAAGCTGGAAAAGTTGCAGAAAAAGAAAAAAAGACGAAATGTTGTTCTCTCACAGTTGTTCAGAACTGGCATGCATGTACACAAACAGAGAAATCAGGATAAAGAGTTCAGGAGAGATGCTCCCATGGGGAAGAAAAAAGTCAGGACGTGGAAAACACTACCAACTTAGTTAGGAGAGGCCATTAAAAAAATCTAGATCTAGGTTCGTGTTAGCTAGATCTATAAGGTAAGCCTCTGGGTCATTAATATGGAATATACAGATCCTCTTTTGGATTAAAAAACAATAAGCATGACTTGCTTAAACAAAGGAGAAAATAGGTGATAACAAAATTAGCAAAGGTAATCTCTGGGTAAAATTTTGCAATCTTTATAAATGGTCTTATTAAATTTTTTTAATTGTGTTTTTTTCCAGTACCATTTAACCCCCTTACACCTCCCTCCCCTTTGCAATCACCACACTGCCGCCCATGTGCATGAGTCCTTTTTCCTTTTTGCAGCTGTCATTCTGCTCTCTATGAGTATCTCTATCTTGCTTGTTAGTTCAGTTTGCTCACTAGAGTCCACATATAAATGGTCCTTTGATGTATATTCCAGGGAACAGAGAACATCTCTGGGTAGTTCTTAGAAGTAAGCTATACAACAGGGAAGGTGAGTATGTCCTGACTGTCTATATAATTGATATTTGAGCCATTATTCCTAGTATATTCGAGTCATTATTCTAGCGAACCCAAGATTGTTTAGGATTCTAATTATATATGCCATGGCATACTGGAATTTGAGTACTATGCCTTTTTGCCTTCTTTACAGAGGTGGTTTAACCCTTATTACCTTGATTTGCCAGTGTATCTTGGACCAGTAACATTGAAGATAAAACGGTCCGCTGATAGCTGCTTGGTTATTAGAGGGTATTTTTCTTGATGGAAAAGCTCAGTAGTTAAAAATCTTGTAAACATTTACATCTGGTTAAAGGTTTTTTCCTATCAAGATGGCATTATCTAGTGTCTGCATTAGCCATTCATTTTGTTACTGAAAATCAAACATATGCAAGCTCAACCCAGGGTGGTACATGATGTTAAGTCATGAGGAAGAGGTAAATCATGAAAAAAATCCTTGTTTATTTTTTGATACATCACTTCCTGGAATAGTCAACCTCTCCTATTAACCTTGTAGCCATTATCACCTCACCGTTTCTGAGAATAAAATGAAAGGGGAAAAGGAATGTGCGACTTTAGGAAACTGTCCTTGGGTGTATGCCTTTCTCTCTCCCTTTGCCTCTTTGCTTCTGCCATGTAGACACGATTGCTAGAATTAGAATTGGGAGAAAAGGCCATAGGCAGCTGAGCCAGAAGATAAGGAGACGTTCACTTTGTGTTGCTTTGGGCGGCATGACAGTCCTGGATCACCCATGGCTAGGCTCTCACTTGAACAAGAAATCAACTTCTGACTTATTCAGGTTGTTATTTTGTGTTTCTGTTGCTTGCAGCCAAATAAACTCTAGTCAATATAGACTGTATCAATCATTTCAGAAATATTTTTTTGCCTTAACCCACTCCCCTGCTTTAACTGAATAACTATCAATTCTATTCAGATAAGAAAGCTTTTACTGAGTAGGCAAAAACAAGATTACTCTGAATATCTATGTATCATACATACTCACTTCCCTTACATAACAATTATGACTGAGATGTAGATCATTGTACAAAATTCTTACCCATACCTCTTTTCCCCCTGTAAACGGGACATCTGTAAATAGAAATATTAGATTGATAACATATATATTCTATAAGGCAGTTGATACATATTGTCAACTTGCTTTCCATACAAATTGTGTCAATGTATATTAATAGCCTATGCATCCCTATCTCAGCATACTTTTGTTCGAGTTTAGTATTAGGTCATGTTACTTTTCAGCTAATTTCATGGGCGAAACATGATGGAATTGGTGATTCTGTACTTATTTCTGTAGTGGATTTGTATAGGCAGAACATATTTCCTTATATTTATTACTCATTTGAACAGGTTATCCATGTTCTTTTCCTGACTTTCATGCTGTTGAAGATCTTAGTGTATTTTTTTTATTTGAAGAGAATTCTTTGGTTAGGATATTTTGGTGGCTAATAAAATGGTTTAATTTTGGTAATCCAATTTGATTGGAAATCCAGCTTTAAAGCATTTGGGGAGTTCTTTTCCATGTGGTAAATATAGATTTTTTTCAATTTAAGGGAATTAAAGAGAACAGTGCCATCTTTTTTCAAAAACCACTCTAGCACACAAAGCTACCACATAGAACAGTATATTTTCTGAAACATCTGTGATGCTACCTTGTCCCTGAGAAGCTGTTAAATATAGTTGTGTAGTGAAAAGAGCACAGGATTTACTTGTATTTTTGTGTAAGGTTTACCTTAGAAAAACATTGGCAAGAGTAAAGGATTTACTAGCAATAAAGTGAAATACTTTATATCGTAAATATGAAAGACTAAGCTCAACAGATTAAAAATAATTTAAAAGTATGAAGTCTGAGTCTAAAATACAGGTAGTTACTATAAAATTGCTGTCTTAACATTCGATTAAATCTTATAAACAACTCACTTTCTTTTTCCCCCTGCTGTTCTTTAACCATCCGTTATTGTTACTCATTTTCTTCTTTTTTGGTTCTTTCTTCTTTTTATTATTATTTTTTTAGACTTGTCTTTGGTGAATACTTTCCATAACTTATTTAACTTAAATGCTTCCTTTTTCAGTTCACATTTCATATTTAATTACTTAACTTAGCATAATTAGTTTTCAGTTGATGTTACATATTTTGATAAATATATCAGTTTCATTTTGAATTTTAATTCCCTTTGAATTTTAGACTTGTCAAAATGTGATAAGGTTGATTAAAAAAATTGGCCTATAGGTTCTGTTTATATTTCATCTGCTACCTCTATGACATTTAATATCTGCATAGCACTTTTCTTCCACATTCAATTATTTTATACTTTTCTAGATATATCCATTTGAGAAATGAATTAAATAGTCTTCATTTTGCATCTTTTACGAATAAGAGCCTCTTGTCAGAACTGGCTAGTCTCCTCTTTCCAAAATTATTTAAGTAACAAGTACTCCAAATGTCAGTTTATATTTTCTTTAAATACTTAGATGAGTTCATAGATGCCTTATGTTAGGCAAATTCAAGTAGCCTAACAGAAAATCTAGTTGGTTTTAATTCAACATCATTAACACCCCTTACCATTAAAAAAAAAAAGAAAAACTGTGCAAAGTACTGTGGATACAGCATAATAAGATACTACATAGATTGTTAAAATTTGGAATTTGCATTCAAGGAAGATCCTATAATCTGAGGAGGCATATAGACAAGCAACTGTTTTAAAAGAACAAGAAAAAGGCAGAATGAAATAGAGACTATTGTAGAGATATCACCAAAGTGCTACAGAAATGTAATGGAAGGGGTGGTTATTTTGATCTGGTTTGGTGAGAAAGGCTTTTTTGGAACATTTGGCACTGGGACTGAGCTTTGAAGAATGAATGAGATTTTGATAGTCACTTGTGTTGGGTACGGTCTGTTAATTCTAATGAGGTTTCAGGTTTTTCAGATTTGCTGAAGTTGAGTCACCTCCTTAAGAGCTCTGGAAGGGTACTGGATCATTCTGAACACATACATTTCATTACAATTTGGATATAATTTGCTTGTTGGGTACTCATAATAAAGCTTAGTTTCTCTCATAATCATAACTAGAATTTACTTAGAAAGTAACACTTTAGCTATTTCAAACCATCAAATTTTAGAGCAAGAAAATATCTTAGAAATTACCTACTTAACCGTCTCATTTACAAAGCAGGGACACAGAGGTTCAGTAATTGACCAAGGTCACTCAGCCAACTTGAGCAGATTTTTCTTGTACCAGGAGGTATTATTTTGGAACCGGTACCTTTCTATGTCCATTATGATAATTTTATTGATATTATGAAATAAAATTATGGGATCCCCACATCTCATTATCAGAGAAGGATACTTTAACGTTTGCAATGAACTTCTACACTGGGGCAAGTGTGAAGGAACATAAAATGGACCAAAGGCAGAAAACGCAAGGGGACTCGGTACCTGCCTAATGGAATTACAGAATAATTAGCACCTGGAAAAAGAGACGCTGTCAGGACTTAGAATCTGATGTGGTTTACTCACCTGGGGTGGAGTGGGAGAGTAAGAGGAGAGAGGGGGAGTGGAATGGGGCGGGGGACCGGGTGGGGTGCTGGGGAGAGGGGAGCGGGGAGAGAGAGATGCCTCAAAGCCGCCGGGAGAAGTACCCTTTGTTTGACAAACCCTGAAAGAGAAGCCTCTCGTGGCAGCCCTCTCCTTCCCACCTCCGAGCGTTTACCGAGCTGCTAGGTGGAGCCTGCGCGGCGGAGCCGGGGACTACTCCAGATCCGGGTTTTGCCTGCCACCCCTTCCCCCGGTACGAGCCCCCTCCCGGCTCTGGGCACCGTCGGCGCTCGCCGGCCCGCGGCTCATTCCGGCCTTGGCTGCGGCCCCGGCTGCACCCGGCGCGCGCGGTCTGCACGGTCCCTGCGCGCCCGCGCCCCGACCGGCTTCTGGAGCGTCGCCCGGCCGCCTATTCGCCCGGCCCCGCTCGCCCCAGTTCCCGGGAGCGGGGATGCAGATGCCGCCGCTGGTCCGGGTGGGCGCCGCCGCCGCTGCTGGCTTTTTCTGGACTGCTCGCTGCCTCCGCTCCCGCCGCTGCCGCCGCCGCCGCCGCTGCCTGTGACTCGCCCCCTCCCCTTTCTTTCTTCTCTTTTTGCCTCCGTCCTCTTTCTCCGATTGCGCGCGCGCGCGCCGGCTGCACGGTTTGCTTTGGCAGAAGCTCCCTCGCGTGTGCGCGTGTGTGAGTGTGCGTGTCTGGAGAGCGCCGGAGCCTTGCTCGTTCTCGGGGAGCCGAAGAAGAGAAAGAACCGAAGAGGCGGCGGCGCGGAGCCCGGGGCCGCGCAATGAAGCACCCACATGCCCGCAGCTGCCCGGCCCTGCCGGCGAGCTAATCAGCGAACTCCCGGGCTCCGGGCTCCGCGGCCACCCGGACGCAGCCCTCGGCGGCCGGGCGACCGCTCCGCCCCGCGCGCCGCGGCTGTGCACCCGCGAAGGAGTTTGGTGGCCCTCGCTTCGGCTCTCGGCGCAGGTTGCTGGAGCGAAAGGAGACCCTTGGCGTGGAGAAAACCTCGAGTGGAGAGGGAGAAGGAAGAGGATTTGGCGGAAAAGCCACTCGTCGCCCTTGCGGCTCCCCCTACCTATTCCATCGCTCCTGCTCTCGGACCTAAAGGGGAGGACGAGGAAAAAGAAAAAGAAAGAGAAGGGGGTGGGGTTGGGAGAACTGGATCTAAAGATCTGCTGGGGGGGATGGTGGAAGATTTTTGGTCTCTTCGGCAGCGTCTTTCCATAAGCGGCAGCAGCAGCGGGAGGAAGAGCAGTCCCACTACGACTGCCGCATGTTAATCGCTGCCGCCTGGGTCCCTCGGCTGCTGCTGGAGAGCTGGACTCCGAAGTTGTGCAACTGTGCACTGGGAGAGACATTTGAACCCTCTTCTCTCTTGGCTCCGTTTTTACCCCCTCGGTGAGTGTGAAGCCAGGAAACGCAAAGGCAGACAAGCATTTGGTTCTTCTCCCCCCCCACCCCCCACCCCCCCTTCTCCGTAGCTGTGTAACAGAAGAAAGGGAGAAGGAGAGACTTTTTGTTGTTTCCTTGGCTGGGGTTTCCACCCTCCCGCTGCCTTCTCTGCGCTTTGGTTTTCATTCTTTTGCCGACTGTGGTAGGGGTGTCTTCGCTGGGGCCGGTCGGTGTTTTGCCCCGGGCTCCCTGGCTGGATTGTGGAAACTGCACCCGGCTGCAGGTTGTTGAGCAACTGATGGGACGATCTCAGGAGCCGGCGGCTGCGAAAGGTAATTTATTCCTACTTCCGAATAGTGGTGGCCGGCGTCCGCGGGGCGGGCACCCGGGGTGGTGGTGCGGGATTCACGCACACTCACTCTGCCACTCACACACTCGCCCGCACACACACTCATCCCACTGTGATGTGGGTTGGGAAGGGAGCCTTTTGGTTGGTGGGCGCTGGTGTTTGGCGCTGGTTTGAGGTTTTTCCAGCTCTTGGGCGATTGGCGGCCAAGCGGGATGAAGGGGAGAGCAGACCCGGTGCATTCGCAGTCCGAAACGCTGGGGAATAGGAACGGCATCCACCCTGGGAATTTTCCCTCCTCTCTCACCCCAGTGTCATCCTCTGGAGGGGGCTGAAGGCAGACCAGGGGGCGCCTTCTCTCCGCCTGCCCGGAGCCGGTGCTGCTGGAGGCGAGCGCAGGCTAGAGGACCGATAGACCCGGGGTGAGAAGCTGGGCTCTGGGGTGACGGGGAGGACGGGATGGCGAGCGAGCCGCGCTCCTCCCTAGACATCTGCCTGGAGCATCTGTGGTGGCCGCGTTTGCCCAGGTCGCGCCCCTGAGTCGTGAAGCGGAGATGCCTCCCTTCACTCCGCCCGTTGTGTCCCCTTCACGGCAGTTTGGCTTAGACCTGCTTGTCCGGGCTTCGTTAGGCGTTCTGGTTGGAGAAAGGTGCCACTTTCTTGGGTGGTCCAGGGCGGCGCGGTATTGGGAGTGTGCACGGGTTAGGGTGGGTGGGGATGTTGCAGGAACCCAGGTGGCCGGGGAGCGGGGCGGGGTGGGCAGAGCATTGGTGGCCGCGGTCGGCTAGGTTACAGGTAGGAGGGCAGGATCCCCGGAGCTCCTCACCGGAGAAGGGGAGGCTTCGGGCTGCCTCGGAGCGAGGGTGCTACTGCGCCCCCTCCACTGGAGCTCAGGGAAGCCAAGTGTGCCAGCCCCCCCCGCCCCCCGCAGTATGGGTGGGCGTGTATGGGGGGCGACCTCCCTACCAGGATTAGTTGGCAACGGTACCGCGTGTGCGTGTGTGTGTGTGTGTGTGTATGTGTGTGTGAGTGAGTGTGTGTTCCTACGCTCTGGGGATGGCCGGGAGATATTTGCGGGGATGGCAGAGCCTGCTTATCCAAGTCGCCTAGGATCTGCTTAACTGGAAAATCTGATTTAAGGAGGCCGCGGGGGCCAATAGGGTTTGCGGGGAAGCCTCACGTCGTCCCCTTTCCCCCGGTGAGGAGCACCTCCACGAGATGCGTGTGGCGCGTGTCTCTGGTGCAGCGCTCCTCGCGCCTCAGATTGGCCCTTGTGAGGACCAAGGGACAGTGTAGTCATCTCTCTGGAAGATTGAAACAATCGAGTGAAGCCAGCACAACCCCTGGTCCCTGGAATTCTCTGGCCACTTTCCTCGCTCGGATAGATACATTCCCTGCTTTATTTATGATCAGAGATATCACAGCCGTTGGGCGAACTCGAGGCATGGGAGCCACCTCTGGGTGTCTCCTCCCGTGCAAGTATGTGATCCTGCCTGCGGTAGTTCGCGCACATTGTAAACAACGGTGTTCTGTACACCCGGACCTACTGGAGTCTGTTGTGTTTACCTTCCTGGGTGGATTACTCATTAGGAAGTATAAGGCTTGCACCTCTGATTTTACATCCTTCCAGACAGCTGCTGGGGAAATGAGAGGCATAGACTGTGGCAGGAAGGAAAGATTGCCTCCTGGGTTTTGCTCTGAAGTAAATAGGCGAATTTAGTGTCATGTGGTCTAGCGGCACTAGTTAAAGAATTTCATTTTAGACGCTGCAAAGAAACACTTCTTTAGTCATTTCTTGATTGGAGAATGTTCTTTATTCCCCTATGAGATTAGATAGAATTTAGCCAGATTTTCCTGGCACATTTTTCAGTCTGTAATGACACCAAATGACCTGGAGTTCCTGGCACCCAGTTTGCATGTACAGGGATTACAGACAGACTTGTCAACTCTTTTATAGTATCATCAAAAGAAAAAAGGTTTGCAGATAATTTGTGTAGGAGTTAAAAAGATATTTGCATTGACATATCTCTCAGCCTTGTTTCATCCTGACTTTTTTTTTTTTCAGTAACCAAAGCAAGGGTTAAAAATATACAAACATAAACAGTTCCAAAAGTTGAAACTGCTTTTCGGTTAAAACGATAAAGACTCAATTCCTTACTTGTAGGTTACCTCTGATTTCTCCTGTGTTTGTTGCCAATGGCTGTGTTTTGTGTTATTTTAAAAGTGTAGCACTGTAAATGTAAAAGGGTACTTTGTTTCCAGGTACTATAATTCCTAGGTTTGTATCTTTTAACATCTTGACTTTTTGAAAAAGCTTAGGATGAAAAAGAAAAGGAATATTGAATCACTGATACCTGATTTTGATTAAGTTGTATTTTTATGAGATATTGCTAGTGATGGTCATCTTAAAAGAAAACTTAGAGAATTGTGATTTAATTCATGAGAATCTAGCTTAGTATTTGTTTCATTTCTAGAGAGTATGTGTTAAACTCTTTTCACTTGCAAATATTTCTGAAGATTAAAGAATACTTGTCCTCTCATTTTAGAAGATCTAATCGTCCTGATTCCAAGTCCTTCTATTGGAAGATTTGATCAGATCTGTTCTTTGTTTCCTAGCAGCATGTTTCCTAGCAGTCGTACATTCCACAGGTCCTGATGTCATTAGAACAGTGTCTGTCCATGTATTGTGCTCTCTTAAGCTGAAGGTGAACGTGTCAGAGAGCTTGAATGCCATTCCATAGCAGTTCTTTATCACTAAATGTCCAAGAACCTGCCCCATTGGTGGATATGGTTAACTGGACTATTTCTATGAACTCTGGGTACGACGAATGATTAGTATAAAGGTTGACGTGAACTATTTACATTTTTTTAGACAGATATGTTAGGATGCATCAGGCATCCTTGGCTGGAGGAGTGATAAGCCAACATGTGATTTGCCTGAAGGATAAGTGCTTTTGATGTCTCATTTCAAGTTGTTTCGTCTGATTATCTTTTATATTGGGAGCTCTCCTCACAATATGCATGGAGGATCTTTTAGGAATGATTTTCTTTATAATGATCTTCTTACATTTTGGAGAGTTAAATATTCCTGTTCACTGCAAATAATAGTATGAGATTTACTGGCTGCAGCTACCGTGCCTGGCATTGGTTCTGGTCATTAGAACAGGCAACATTTTGATGAACTTGATTTACCTTTGATTCCTTGGGAACTATAGCCAAGGAGACCCTAAATAGAAAATAAAAAAGGCTGTAAAGTCAAAAGGATTGATGTTCGTCAAATAATATATGTAATGCTAAACTGAATTGTTTTTCAGGTTTTATTGGGACCACTTTAACCGCTGGCTGAAACTGTCTTTGAAAAGGGCTGCTGAGTAGGAATGACAGCTACTGTTAAAAGTGGAACATTTTTGCCTCGAATTCAGGAAAACCGGTTGTGATTTTTATATTTGAGAACAAAGAATGATTTTGAGAAATGCTCTGCAGCCTTAATTTAGCATGGTATGAATGGCTAGAGCAATTGGACTTACAGGGAGAGGCTCTTTCCTTAAATTTTGCAAATGGCTATTTTCCCTTTGATTTCTTAGATTTGCATTACATTCAAAATAGGCACTTGCTCACATAGACAGAAGCTGTATTGTAATTTAGCATTTGTTTGCCTTCAAGGACATATTTATACTTAGATTACAATTGCAATGATGTCTTTTTCTATTATGCAAATGCATTTCTTTATAGTATACCATATTTTATAATAAAATGTACAACATTCAAATATGAGTAAGGTCCTTCTGACATTTCCCCTTTGTTATCTTGTGTGTGTTTGTGTGTAGTTAGGGAGTTGTTCATCAGTGGGGAGAAAAACCCAGATTTTTCATTCATTGTGATTTTGACATTGGATTTTATTGGCCTGTTTGAGAAGGTAGGTAAGTTGGCCTCTTGATAGCAACTATGAGTCCTAAGATGTGCATATTTCCCCCAACTGTGTAAATGTCATTGCCCTCATCTAACTATTCATTCTACTTCTGCAGAAATAGCCAGGTGTATTTTTTTTAAGAATGTGTGTTTAAGTGTGTTTCCACATTCACAAATGCAAAATATATTTAAACATTAGCTGTTCTGCTCCGAATTAATTGAACTTCTTTACTGTTTTAGGGGGAGTGGGTGAAAGGGGAGAGTTCTTCTTAAAGCTGGTCATGACAGATTCTATCGATCTTAATAATGTATGTCCTGTTCATGTGGTGTTGACACTGGAAACAAGGATTTAACATTAAAATTTCTTCATGAGAGAGTACTTACATGCATTAGAAGTTAATATTTTATCTATATTATTCAAGGGTTACAAGTGAATATTGTTGGTGGTAATCTTATTTATCATGCAAATTTTCACAGGGATGGAAAAATAAGTCATGCAAGAGTTTTGTTTGGTAAAACTCTCGTGTCCATTATTTTGGAGAGCAGATTATTCTCTCTTCTCAGTGTGTGTTCTGGGGAAATGTATGGGTCCCTAAAACCTTTTCAGGCCTGTTAAGGGAAGACATTGCCAAAATAATGCTAATGTGTTACTGGCCGTTCGCTCTCCTACTTTACCAAGTGAGCAGTGGAGTTTTCCAGAAGGTACATGATGTGCGATGACATCATTGCTCTGATGGCGTACAACACGCTTAAAATTTTCTCAGTTTAACTAGGAATCCATAAATATTGATAGTTACAAGCAACATAATCCAGATTGCTTTAGGTCATCATTTTCTACCCCTGTAAAATGGTCTTGAGACCGGGAAGTCGGAGAACCAGTGACACTGACTTTCCAAGACCTGTCTCCTTGTACTCACATAGGTCACCCCATTTATCCATATAAGAAGCCATCTAAGATGAGAAAACAAGGGCATTGTTCAAGTTTTAAAAAGACGCAAGCAGGTTGGAAATTTTACTGCCTGTCATTTTCATTAGTTTCTTCCCAGCATTGAAAGCTTGTCTTTAACCGTGTGGGTGCTCAGTTAGTGAAACTGAAACTCCAAAGTTCTGCCAGGTCTCCAGCATGATATCCTCCCAGGAGCAAAGGAGCTACTGGGAAACTTTAAAATCTACGCCCCAGGTCTTGATATTCTAGTATCTCAGAGGCAGAATGGTGTGGTGAAGAAAAGGAACTCTGTGGTGTGTTTGACTAGGTTTGATAAATTACTTGACTTTAGGTAAGATATGAGATCTTCTAGGCCTCAATTTCCCGATATGCTTTAATCAATATCACAGTTGTACCTAATTCATAGGTGGTTGTATAGATTTAATGGGAAAAAATATATGCAAAGTGCTCCAAATAGTTCTGGGCACATAATACATTTGCAAGCATTTGCTGTTTTTACTATTATTATTATCAGTATTATTTATTAGGTCTCATGAGGGCCCCAAGAAACATTGGTCAACTCCCCAT